AGACAGTGTCTGACCCACTGTCCCACCCAGTCCCAGAGGGAGACAGTATCCCACCCAGTCCCAGAGGGAGACAGTATCTGACCCAGTCCCAGAGGGAGACAGTGTCTGACCCACTGTCCCACCCAGTCCCAGAGGGAGATAGTGTCTGACCCAGTCCCAGAGGGAGACAGTGTCTGACCCACTGTCCCACCAGTCCCAGAGGGGTTAGTTATTGGTCAGGAAACACAGTAAGCTCCGACAAACTGCAACATGATGATGGCTGCCTGTTTTGCTTTCATGTGGATGGCCGAGTGATTAGTATTGGTAGCGGACACCAGGGAGATCCTGCTCCCGCACACCCTTCTTCCAAATAATCCCACGGATCTTTCATCCACCTGAAACTGGGGCCTCTGTTCATCATCTCGAGTGAGAAATGGGATCAGCAGGACAACAGCACCCCCACTGTACTACCCTGGAGTGCCAGTGGGAGGCAGCAGTGAGTATAGGGACCCCACAGTTAGTGTTCCGGAGACTCAGGGGAATGTTCAGGTTGGTGGGGGGTGGGGAGATGTGGGGAACGTGAGTACATGCAGTTGGTAACATTTAAACTCAGCGAAAACATTGGGAATTAAAAACGAGCTGTCGATTGTGATAAAAACCATTGAGTTCACCAACGGCCTATAGAGAAGGGATCTGCCCTCCCTCCAGGGTCTGACCTGTGTGTGCATCCAGAGCCACAGCAATGTGGTTGAGTTTTGACTGCGTTGTGAGATGGTCTAGCAAGCCAACCCACCAGAAACAAAGGTCCAGTTACAGGTTTCAAATATCTGCAGCGAGGCTGGAGCACAAAGTCTCCTGACTAGGCCATAAGAGAACTGACTGTCAGTGCCTAAAGCATCTGACATCAAACATATTGACCGCCTCATACAACAAACTATTGCTGAAGGTTCAATACTGAGGGTGTGGACCCTGTTGGAGGGTCAGTACTGAGGGAGTGCCGCACTGTCAGAGGGTCAGTACTGAGGGAATGCTGCACTGTCAGAGGGTCAGTACTGAGGGCGAGTGCCCTGTCGGAGGGTCAGTGCTGAGGGCGAGTGCCCTGTCGGAGGGTCAGTGCTGAGGGTGAGTGCCCTGTCGGAGGGTCAGTGCTGAGGG